GCGGAGAACCTGGGTGCCATTACACTCCGGAAGTTAGGGCTTTGGGGTTCAGGACTCAGGGCTTAGGGGTTTAGTGTTTCGGGTTTTAGGGGTTTAGGGGTTAGGGGTTTAGGGGTTAGGGCTTTAGGGGTTTGGGTTTAGGGTTTAGGGTTAAGGGGCTTAGGGTTTAAGGGTTGAGGGGTTAGGGTTTAGGGGTTTCGGGTTTAGGGGTTTAGAGTTTAGGGGTATAAGGTTTAGGGTTTGGGGGTTTGGGGTTTAGGGGTTTAGGGTTTAGGGATTAGGGTTTAGGGGGTTAAGGTTTAGGGTTTAGGGAGATCCGAGCATGCCCTAAACCCTCAAAACCCCCCAAACCCGCAACCCTCAACCATGAAGCCCGTAACCCTACACCGTCAACCCTGAACAAAAAGAACATTGAACGATCGTTCCCCTCGAACCCGTGCGTATCATCCTTGTTGCAGCTTGCAACTAGCCTTCGACATAAAGACCGGCTCAAGGTTCACGTTAAGGACGAAATGACGCTTAAAAGTAGGGGCCCTCTACCCTTGTACTATGAAATCCCTATATGGTATATGAACCCTAAACCCTTTTAGGCTTCATTTCGTCCTTACGGCAGGGTTTATATAAATTATTAAGGTCGACAGCCCTAAGCCGTTATTGAACCCTCAACCCTGAACACTTAGAGAACGTGAAAAGGAACCCTAGCAAATCCCGGACTCGATCCCCAGGACCTCCCCCATTCCAAGGCTGCAGCCTAAACCGCAAACCCGACACCCTACTTAAGGACCCAAGGGACTTATTAAGTAAAGTTGCACGTAAGGTTATAACAACCCCTAACCCCAACTTATTAGATCCCCTGAACCCTTAAAACTCTAAACCCTAAACCCTAAACCCTATACACGCCGATCAAATTCTAATCTGGCGCACCATCAGCTGCATCGTGAGGTCGCGAGCGGCTGCAGGAGCGGCTGCGAGATTCGGATGGCTTGGCACCTGAACTCTTTCTTTTTGTTTTTAGGGTTTAGGGCTCAAGGGTTTAGGGTTTAGGGTTCAGGGTTCAGGGTTCAGGGTGTAGGGTTTCTTTAGAGGTTTAGGGCTTGGGGCTTTAGGGGCTTAGGGCCCATAGGGTATACGGTTTAAAGGGCTTCGGGTTGAGGATTGGGGGTTAGGATTTCGAACAGTTGGGGGCCCGTGTTGTACGTAGAATATAGTTCCTCCAAGAGCACAGGGCTCTTGTTCGTGTTCAACTCAATAGCAAACCTAAACCCTAAACCCTGAACCTTGAACCCTAAACCCTAAACCCTAAACCCTCAACCTAAACCCTAAACCCTAATTACGGATGTACGGTAAATGACAAGACTGTGGGTCGGAGGGGCCCCCAACCGTAAATCCGACACGGAACTTGAAGGGCCCAAGGGACATATCCTTAAGGACGAAATGACGCTTAAAAGTAGGGGCCCTTTACCCTTATACTATGAATCCCTATATGGTCTATGAACCCTAAACCCTTTTAGGCTTCATTTCGTCCTTAAGGATTAGGTAAGGTTGCACGCAAGGTTATAACAACCCTTAACCCCAATTACAGTCGTCCTTGTGTAATGGGTTGAGGGGCGTTAGGATTTAGGGTTTAGGGCGCAGGACACTAAGGCGGAGGGGTACATCGTAGTGTGGAGTGCAGGCCTTGGAATTACAGAGGGCTTGAAGTAGTAATTCTTGGGGAAACCAATTACCATACCTTGCAGAATGAACACAGCTAGCATGAATGCTGCACCTAAACCCTAAACCCTAAACCCTGAAGCCCTAAACCCTAAACTTATTTGGCTTGGGGGCAGTTGCAAAGGGTTTCCGAAGCTCTCGCAGCGCAGATAGATCGAGACCGCAGTCTCGTGAACATTCATTCTCTTGGCGTCGTTGGACCCTAAACCCTAAACCCTAAACCCCTAAACCCTGAACCCTAAACCCTACTGTAAACCCCGAACCCTA